ACATTTTTGAACACTTGAGGTCTTCCTCTGGCCTCGACATGGGTGTATATAGGCATGGGCAGCCTTGAGTGTGTGCATACATGCATGTGTGTGCACATGCAAATACACACACACCTACTTTCACAGGCACATCAAAAATGGTGTTTTATCAGTGATCTGGGCATCCCTAACCCTTCATATCCAATTATCCTTCCAACTCTAAGTATTAGTCCAAGGAGCTCCCTGCATGTCCACCCCAACACTGATCTAATGTGACAGGGAAACATTTGGAAATGGTGCTCTGGGTCTCACAAAAATGTCAAAAAGGAGAGGCAAGAGGAAAAGGTGAGTGAATTCCTCAGCAGCCCCGTGTTCCCTTACCAGCGGGGCTTATCACTTTAAAGTTCCTCATGGTGGACTGGTTCCTGACCCATTTGCTCACTAGGCACACACACACATACACACACACACACAGCTTAATTCCTGTATCATTGGCTGCCACTGGTTCCCTAAGAAGCTTAACAGGGCTTGCTCTCACTTCAACAACGACCCACTAATAGCTTTACATTTCTCCCCAGCATTACAAGCTCCTATCTCCTAATGAAATCAAGAAATCAAGGGGACACAGCAGGAGAGCAAGCAAAGGCACAGCAGAGCCAAGGACACACTGGGACTCTGACTCTGCTGAGCCACAGATCACCTGCGAACAATGATCCAGCCTTAGCTTCCTCTTAGGAAAAGAGAGTTGCATCTCTTCGGGTGAGGCAAACTTCCTTCCACTGTACTTGAAAAAGGGTAGTGCACCCACGGGGCTGTGATCTGGCTGACATTGAGCATGTTCTCCTTCGTGGGGATGGTTGCTCAAGGGACTTTCAGTTGGCTGTCAGTTTCCAGTGTCTGAGGCCCAGGTCCTCCTCAGGGTGTTCGTGTGACCAGTGTTCGGGACAGAGGCTCAAGGTCAGCTAATGCTCACTTTGCCTCGACCTTTGCAAGCGGCTTATTCTTTACAAATCTCTCCCTCCTGGTTACACTTTGGTTTCTGACTTCCTGGTGTTTTCTGCTTGTGTGTTCCTGATTTCCTTAGTCATGCAACACATCTGCCGGGCGGCTGCTAGCCACCACCTTTCGTTTCAACTCTCTCAGTAGCTGCTCGCCTCTGTGAGAGGGAACAAGAAAGGTTCATTACACGGCCCTACCTACTTCCCCTGTCCAGTTCCCCTTCCAACCCCAGTCGCATGCTGCCCTGTCCACCATGACACTGGGCTAACTGACACTCTCGCATCTCCATCGCCCAGACCAGGGTATCTCCCTCCATTGTCCCCTAGCCCTCTGCACCCAGCTCCTGCATTCACCCTTTCGCCCCTCACAGTAGCCACGGTCTCCTATCGACTTCATCCTCTGCACTGGACATCAAGTGACTTGTAGATCATGTGGTAGACAGTTTAGGTACAAATCTAAGAGCGGAACTTAAGGGCAAGCTCAAAACCAGACAGAGACTTGGAACTCAATAGCTTATGGACAGTGTTTGGGATCACAGCGAGCCTTAGTGAAGACCTCTTGGAAAGTTTGTCTAGAGAAGACTATGGGGCCAAGGACTAAGTTCCATGTGTGCCAAAGTTGATGGGGGAAAAAAAATCCCAGGGTAAAAGACAAATGAGCTGTCTGACTGAATAATGAACCATCAAAGATGTCCACATGCTCATCCTCAGAGTTTGTCATTGTGTTATCTAAAAGGGCAAGGGGATTTTGCAGATCTGATCAAATTAAGGGTGCTGAGGCAGGCCTGGTGGCATAAGCCCTGGCTACATGGGAGTCTGAGGCAGGAGGATCCCGGGTTCAAGCCTTCAGTGAGTTGCCTTAAAAGAAAACCACAAGCAGGGGGTTGGGCATCCAGGCCAGTTGCAAGGTGCTGACCGAGCACTGATGAGGCTCTGGGTTCAATATAATAATAAATAAATAATAAGTAAAATTAAGGGTGTGAGTGTGGGGACGTATCTGGGGTTGTGTGCGAGGGTTAAAAATAATAGCAATATTCTGAAGTCCCCAGAAATGCGAGCCAGCATAGACCCTTCTCTCCCGTTGTTTGTGTTAGTGGTCTGGCCACAGTGGCTCAGAAGTGCTATAGTCTGTGTGAGCTGAAAATAATGGTAAAGTTCTCTGTAAGGAACCTGGAGAACCACAGACAGACAATGACAATGACGTAAGTGGAAACAGTGGTTGGGGAGGAGAGACGATGTTGGGTCTATACAGAGACTGTTGATAGCAAGAGGGGCAGTCTTACAGAATTAGTGCACATAGCAGACTCACGATTCCTGGGGCAGCGTCAAAACATTTTAAACTTATTTTTCAATGTAACCGTATTTTTAAAATCAATATAAAACACAGTCATCAGCCATCTAAATCTATTATCATTTCTTACTCTTTAGAGATTCCATTTAACTTAGATGTTCAACTATATTTAATTTTCTACAGCCTGCATTGCTGACCATATGCTTCTTGAGGGTGGGGTTGTATTTTCACTGCCTCTCCTACCTAATGAACTATTTTACAACCATGAATACACACAACTGGACCACATGGAAATTCAGCAAACATTGACCAAAGGTAACTAGGATTTCTTTCATCTTGCCCCTTACAGTCTTCCTGGAAGGGAAGTCACGGCAGGAACCCCAGGTTGGAAGCCAGAGGCAGGAACTAAAGCAGAGGTCACAGAGGGACATTGCTTATTAGCATGTTTCCTCCTTATTTGCTTAGCTTGCTTTTTTATACTACCCAGGACCCAGGGATGGCACTGCACTCATTAGGCTGGGCCCTCCCACATCAGTCATTAGTCAATAAAATGCCCCCACAGACATGTCTACAGGCCAATCTGATAGAGGCAATTCATCAAGATCCATAGATGAGGTTCCTTGGGTGACTCTGGTTCATGCCAAGTTGACAAAGACTGACCAGCATGGCAGCCTGTAGTCCCCTCACAATCTAAAGTGGTTGCTTTGACAATACCTGCTCCCTACAGCATCCATGTGACTAGATGCTAAATCTCAACATTATCAATAATTGGGGGTGAGGGCTAACAATTTGCCTCTGGGAATTCCGTGTTGTTGTGTGTAAGGCTGAGTACTCCGTAGACACTACATACAACAACTTCGGGAGTTGTTTTAATTCTCAAAATGAAGACACTCTAAGAGGAAGCCAGAAGCAGAGGTGAAGAGTTCCCTGAAGTCACTGTTGCCTCAAGTGTGACTGGTAAGCTGTTATTTTCTCTTTTTTTAATTTTAACTTTTATGCATTGTGTGTGTATGTGCAGAAGCATCAGAGAGTGTGTGTATGTGTGTATATGTGTGTGTGTGCATGTGCGTGTGTGTACATGTGTGCATGTGTGTGAGTGTGTGGGGGGTGTGTATATGTGCATGTGTGTACGTGTATGTGTGCATATGTGTATGCATATGT